ACATTTTTTAATTTAATTTTTAATTTGTTTATTGATTTCAGAGAGGAAGGGAGAGGGATAAAAAGAGAAACATCAATGATGAGAGAGAACCATTAATCGATTGCCTCTCACATATCCCTTACTGGGAATCGAGCCTGCAACCCAGGCATGTGCCCTTGACCGGAATCGAACCCACGACCCTTCAGTCCACAGGCCGACACTTTATCCACTGAGCCAAACCAGCTAGGGCTGATGATAAATTTTTAAAATGACTTTTTCTGTTATATTATACTAGAGGCCCAGTGCACGAAATTTGTGCACAGGCAGAGTCCCTAGTAACTGCCCGCTGCTGGCTGGGGCCTCCCTTCCCCCGACGGGACCAGCTGGGGGGAGGGGCCGCAGGTGGTTGGCTGGCCGGCCTCACCCCCTGGTCAAGGGAACAATTTGCATATTAGGCTATTATTATATAGGACCCTTTAGTGCTGAAACATTATGATTTAGGAGCGTTATTTTTTACTTCAGGTGCTTCCTGTGAGTTTGCCTCCCTATGTGAAGCCATTCATGAAATGCTCGATCCTCTCTGAGCACTTTAGTCACCAGGCCGGCCCTTTGCACACAGAACTGGAAGAGATCAGCCACATGAGAGAGGCCCCACGTGTGAGAGCACAGGTGAGCATGAGAAGAGCATATCCACGAACTACTCTGATGCGAAGCTTATTAGAAGCCAAACGTTGGCTTGTCAGCACACATTCAGAATCTACTTTGAACAAGTGTCATTTTTAGAGAAAGTCATCTACAAATAAAAAAGTTCCCCACAGCCTACACAAATGGAGAAGGCAGCACAGGATACAATGAAACATCGCAATATCACATTTCAATTTCTTATTCAGAGGCATAGAAACGTTGAACTCTAGCAGTATTCATAAGGCAGAGGGCATCACACATACCTGGGTCCAGGGCCAGCCAAGTAGCATGGATCCTTCACCAGACCAGAGCCATTGTTTCCCCCCAAAAGCACATCCTGAAACACAAGAAAGGCACAGCATTATTACCGACAAATTTACTTGAGGGGGTGGAGGCAGGAAGGAGCAAGCATAGTCACTGGAGGCCTGCTGTTTGTTGTCAGGCACCACGGTGGCACTCTCCCAGACCGCCCGTTTCTCCTCGAAGCCCCGGGAAGGACTGTGAATCCCACCGCGCCGGTGAGAAAGCGGCCCAAAGAGGTTATAACTTCCCCAAGGTCTCAGTGGCAGAGCTAGGATTTCAACCTCGGTCTGTTTCACCCAGTGCTTCTCCTCACAAGGGCACTTTCTAAGCAAGAGAAGGCTGATAATTATCTCTAGGGTTCAAAAACAATTGCTATCCTTGAAATGACAAAAATTAATTCAAAGGGCCAACTTTCTGAAACAGCAATAGGAAATAACGGGAGATGACAGGATAGTGCATGACATTTAGCAAAAACCTCCGATGTTCTGACTTATAATTCCAGAAGATATGAATCTGACGTGTAATCAAGCTGAAATATGTTCTCTCTGGGTTTGAAAATGTTTTACCCACATGTAATATCAATATCTTTGGGCCTTTTCAGGTAGTCATTACTTGTTTCTTTTTGTTTTTAATAAGGGTATTATTGGTTTCCTGAAAGGATCCTATGTCAGTTTTTGATAAAGTTTTGCCCAGGTGAATAAGTCCCTGATGAAGACAATGTTGCTATTGATGATAAAACATTTAGCTCTCAATTATTTATGCTACTAGGAGACAGGTAGAAAACAAGAAATTAAATCCATACATTATCTCTACATTTAATTTCAACAATTATTTCATCACTTAATCTGTCCACAGAGCTCATTGCTTTCCACCCTGCTTTTCTCCCCCGCCCCTCCCAACCCCCAGGCAGTGGTGCAGGTACTAATGAGCAATAAAAGAGCCAAAGGTAGTAGGCACAAAGAAGAAACCAACACTCGAAGATTATTGGTAACTGCAGCTAACCCTTATTGGGCATTTACTTTGTGCCAGACACTGCTAAATTCCTTACA